GGTCAGTAAGGAAAGCATTTGCGAAGTAACCACCAATTTGATTAGTACAAATGACCTGCAACTACTCCAATTAAGAGGTTTCTTGGGTTAGAAATCTGTGACCTACAATGAGTTGTCATAGAAACCAATATGAACATTTCAGCTCAAAAATCACTTCAAAATAATGGCTTAGTTCATCATCTCATACCAGGTGACATAGCTCCTCTGAATCCAAAATCTAGAGTCTGTCCCTACACTAAAATTCTTCTGCCAGCCCTGGGTGACAGTCAGACTGTTTTACTTCTGTTTTTTATGTATACTGCAGTTGCTTCAGTACAGATATTCAGTACGGGGATATTCCCAGAGCAGGAGGATGGACTAGAATGGTAACAGAGGGAACTGTGGGAACTGTCTGAATAGCATCTCTGGCAGTAACTAGAAAGCAGGCATGACCAGTGTGTAAGTGGGAAGCTGGAACATGTTAATGCATATATGTACCTTTCATTTTCTATGCACCATCTCCAAGAATGGTGCATTTCCATGGGACAATTTTTTCAGAGCTCTCTCTGTATCTATCTTATGCTGCAAGGAAATTGTAAGGCCTTTGTTGTGTCTTTTAAAAGGGGGATGTTGCAGAGAGTCTGACAGTGGGTGCTTCCCCTGCCATGGCTTGTTTAGTGGCTCCCTTTCTTTCATTCACTTTCCCTTCAGAAGCCTGCTGGATGCCTGCTCCTGAGGCCAACTTCTTGTGCTCTTTTCTTGGTTGAGAAGCTCTGGGAGTCTGTGACCACTATGGATCAGGCTTACACTGACTTCTTTTGCAGTGCTGCATTTCTCAGTCATATTCTTTCTCAGCATATGCAAGGCTCAATTGGAGAGTTTACTGTGTTTGTCAGTAAAGAAGCTGCTTTCTTCTGGTTTTCCAGCCATGTGATAAAGCTCCTACAGCTTTAGAGCCTTTAGAACAACAAAAGGGTAACGAGTCTTCTGTTCACCTGCAGAGAGAGGAGTTGATGCGGTCATATAAGACATGGAGAGCCAGAGAGATCAGCTGGAATGGGACCAAATTAAATGCATTTACTCTGCACTGTTCCATTAATGCCAAGTAATTACCACATACAGTGGGATTTTTGTTTTGTTTTGTTTCATTTTGGCACAAGAGAATTCTTTTCAAATGTGAATGCGTTAGGCAGTCCAGGCTGCTGGGCTCTTAGGTAAATTATAACAAGCCTTCCCTATTCCCATATGTTCCTCTCCCTTCCCCTTGGCATTTGGAAAGCTGGCAATACAAAGATGGGAAATGCAAATGCAGAGAGGAAGTCTCTTTCCCAGTGGCAGTGATGCTGGTTCTGCCACTCTGGTGCAAACTCTTGCCCTGACTTCTATCCCCAGGATGCTTCCTCGGCAAATTCAGAGTGGTCCAAAAATGGATATCAGAGAAATGTTCCAACTAGAAGAAAATTTTCATTGGAGCATGCAATTCTCTTGTGTTTGAATGTGCAAGTACTGTCTAATCCCACTGGCACTCTGATCTCTGAGAACAGTACTGCCAAAATACAAAAAACATACTCAGGCTGCCATGAAATTCCTATGCTAGCCATCCATACTGGACATTAGGGACTGTTGAAAGAGGGATGGAGAAGGGTCAGAGAGATACAAAACTGCTGTATATGACAGTTCTTGTATTTTGGGGCCCAGGCAGCAATAAATGTAATGATTCTCAACAGAGTCCAGTCTGTCCTCTCTTCTCAGTGAAGTGATAATTTCTATAGTGAAGGGCTGATAATTTTTTTAGCTTTATTTTGATGAGTGTCTGGAGGAAAAGAAAGCACCTTAAGGTCTGTTCCTACTCCAGGTTTTTTTTCACATATACTATCCCACCACAAGTCTCCCAATCCCAACGTAAAGCTTTCAAAATGCTTGCTGGGAGGTGGGTGAGCACCTCTCCTTAAAGACCTCCATCAGCCCATGTAGCCTCATCATTCATGGAAAACCCTTCCGCAGCACAGTGAGGTGAAGCTTACTCCATGTTTGGAATGTGGATGGTGGCACCTCCTTTTTCCTCTCTTTCTTGGAATGGCTCTCAAAAAAAACTCTACAATATGTATACCACTCTACAGGAACCTCATTTTCCCACTTGATTCTCCCTAAAACTGTGTTGTGGATCCCAGCTGATGGGAAGACAGGATGAGAGGGGAAGAAGGAGACTCCTTTCCACTAGTGAATATTGTACTCATTTCCAAAGGCATCATCCCTTCCCTTTCACTGTCTCTCAGTGGTTTGAGAGAGGAGCTGGTTCAAGATGCACATAAATTGTGTTCCAGCCAGGGCCTGTGGCAGATCTGCCAAGGCTGGAAGCTTTGAATCAGGGAAGGGGAGCTTTTTTGCATTTCCTTTAGCTGCACTGTTTTCCTGAAATAAGATGTTTTGTTGTGAACATGCATCCATGGCTGGAGAAACTCTTGTGGATGTCCTGTGCTTAGGTCGTGCTCCACCTTGGTGATTCCTACATGTTTTCTCTCTTCTCTCTAAATAAGCTGCACAATTTTAGGATAAGCGAAAGATTCAGTTTTTAGGTACAAAAGTCACATGTCAGCAGTATGCCTGCTACAGACTGAATATATATATATATATATATGAATCATATCAGATCATGCAGTGCTCAAACAGTGGAACAGGCACAGGCAGCAGCACCCTCAACTTCTATAGCCTGTATCAGTTCAGCAGTCAGACAGGAGCAGTTGCCAACACTGAAAAATAACTATAGTCACTGAAAAACTATGCATGGTAGAAGGGGACACACTGAGCTTGAGCTGTGGGGAGATTTCTTGTTTCATAGCAACAAACAACTACTGGTCCTCAAACAGGGAAAATTCAGCACAGTGCCCCAGTTGGATAAGGTCTCCCCAGTACCCCATCAGTGAAAGCAGTTGTAAGATGAGAACTGTCCAGGATGTATGCTGGAGGAAAGTTTAAATCACGCATTACTATCTCATTAATGTCCAACTTTCCTAGCTTGCCTTAGAACTGTGGGTTCTTCACTCCATTTCACTACTGGAGCTGGAATATATTGAATTTTGGCATATGTTGATGATCTTGCCTTTGTCCAGGACTGCTGTCCTTGATGATGGCATCCGGGGGTTCTTTTCCTGACCATTAGCTGGTCATTCACTGACTCTGAAACCTTTCCTTGTCACGTATCTCCTACATTTTTTGTCAACCAGTTATGACTATCTTGATAGTTTAAAGCTAATACATCTTCTATCTCCAATTACCTCAAAGCTGGGATTTCTGCGAGAAAGATAGATTTGATAAAGCACCTTTGGGATTTTCAGTTGAAAATATGCACAAATCAGAATCATGATGCTCCATTATCTACAGGATAGTTTGCCCATGGTTAACAAGGCCATTTTAACGTGCAGGGTTTATCACATTTATACAAGATTGGAGACTAAATTTTGAAAAGTGAGAGGGAAGGAGTCATAGGTCTCAGTGATAAGGTAAATGACCAGTAACTGTTTTGAATGTGCACTCTTTTGTTGGAAGTCTCCTTTGGAAATAATTGTTACAGTCCCCAGGTGTCCTATTACAGTGTGCTCTGGTTTTACATAGAACTGACCTGCATTATTTACGAGTTGTCTCTAACTGATCATTCCACGCTTCTCTGCAGATCAGAGGATCTAATTTCCAAGGTATTGTCATGCTGCTCATTTTTCTCTGAGAGGGTAGTGACTGTCCTTCTTTACACTGGTATAGAGGTAGAATTACACTTGCATGCATGAGGAATGCTAGAGGAATGTCTTTAGGATATGCAATGATGATAAGGCTGCCTTCCATGATGGGTGTCACTTGACTATTCTGACACTGGTTCTTTTACTGAGTTCTTTTGGATCAGAGTAACTGCTTTTACTGAATCATTGTTGCAAATGAGTGTAGCCTGACACTTGCACATCAGGCTGTCCCTTTCCCAAAGGTTTGTGTTCTGACTAGCCAGCAAAGCTGGCCTGTTCTGCCTATTCAAGTGCTTCTGTTTGGACCTTTTATTAGCAAGACATCAAAGACTGATTTTGCCTTCTTGTAAGCAAAAGCAAGAAAAGAGCTTTTTCTTTGGTCTGCCCAAAATGTTTCCCTCATCTCTGTGACTTTTCAAGAGTTGCAAATAAAAAGAAACAAAAAACAAAGTCGTTACAAATTTTGTGAAAGATCTTTGGATATAAAATCAAGTGAATGTAGCAGTTGTTCAAAAGCACCCAAGTACTAAAAAGCAGACATGGGAGCACAGTGGTGTTGACTGTGACTAATGGAGATTAATAAATTAGTCAATATATGATACTTGTGATTTAGAGCCATCCTGAAGATCGTGGCTGCCTGACTCTTCCCATGGTGCCAAATAATAAGAGAATGGAGCTTTGATGGAAGGGAGGGAATCCTCTCTTTTCCTTCCCACTGCTGACACCCTCGGTTATAAGCAGTGCTGTGTTGAAGGGGTTTCTCCATCAAAACTAATTACCCAAAATTATTTCAAAGCCATATGCCTATGCAAACAACTCCCAATAAGGGATTTTTGCAGTAGCATTTACATCAATAATGTTTTTTCTCTAGATATCACACATTTTGTTTCATGTTGTTGACAGAATATATTGATAGTGTTGCCTCCTACCTTAAAGAGCTGGCATATTACAGAGTATATCAGCCCTAAATCCAAGCTGGAATTCTCCTCCCACCTATTTCCCTCGATTTCTCCCTTATACTATGTTGGTATCACTGGAAGTTGAAGATGTTCATTTCCTGTCAGGGCACTGCAGGCATTGCGTTCATCAGGAGTGGGCATCTGAGATACAGTCTAGAATACTGCAAAGATTTGGATCTTGAATACGTGTGTTCTCCTGCGTGGAACAAGAAATAAAATTAAATCAACTAAAATATAACAGGTTGGGTGCTGTTCTGGATAAAAAAACAAGTTTCAGAGTGGGAAAGCTGTTGTGGATAATTTAACTCACATTCTGATCCTCTCTTTACAGCCACAGGGACTTAAAACCAGAAAACCTACTGCTGGATGAAAAGAACAATATTCGGATAGCAGACTTCGGGATGGCATCGCTGCAGGTTGGGGACAGCTTGTTAGAAACCAGTTGTGGGTGAGTGTCTCAAAGCATATTGCAAAAATGAGTGATAGATTCCAGACACAGAAGTTGTCTGTAGTAAGGGTCACTAAAGACCTGCAGACCTACACACTACATTGGTATTTCCCAGCAAGATAATAAGTTTATATATGCATGTAGTGTATCAGATAGCTAAAAGAAGGGGGATTAAGTGCTGTACAGTGAAAAGTAGGCCACTGTAGGTGTCATATATGGATATAAAAATTAAGGCTTTCAGGTTTGGATTCATCTGCATGTGCTGGTATATGTTTGCATTTACTGGCCATGTAGTTTTTGGTAACTGAAAGCAGTAGTGTTTACTATTGTAAGAAGAGACTTTGAAAATATTAGGGAGTGAAAAAATAAATTAGTCTAGAGGTTCTTAAATGGAACTTGCGTGTCCTGATTAGACTGACTGCTTGCATGCAGCTCTTCCTGTTCATGCTCCACACTGCTTTGTTTCAGCTGTGCAGGATTGAGGGGGAGGAAGCAGGGTCCTTTGCAATTACAAGCAGGGCATGAATAACACTTACAAAGGAGACTACTTGGAGGAATATTGCAGGGGCAATCTAAAGACATTTCCGTGGCAATTCAGTTGCCAGCAAGAGCTTTGTAGGACTTTCCAAGGGAGCTGGCAGTAAGCCTCAACAACTGAGCAAAGCCCGAGTGCCTGGCTAGGGACAGGACATGCTCTTCAGGGGAAGGCTCTCTCATCACCATTGTCCCTAAGGGCACCACTGGACTGTGTCCCACCCCCTCCCAGTGCTGTGGCATGGTGTCCAGTTGTCTGTGCAGGGGCTGCAGCAATGAACTGTAGCAAGGGCAGCAGCTGCATCGAGCTGCTGCAGCCTGGCACCACTACATCAGCTTTTAGCTGTGTCTGAATTTGTTGTAACAGCAAGCTCAGCAACCAGACAGTACCAGCAGATTTCCACTTCCTGCCATACAAAACTGACTATTGACAGGAAGCTGAACATGAGCCAGCAGTGTGCCCAGGTGACCAAGAAGGCCAATGGCATCCTGGCCTGTATCAGAAACAGTGTGGCCAGCAGGACCAGGGAAGTGATTCTTCCTCTGTACTCAGTGCTGGTGAGGCCACACCTGGAGTACTGTGTCCAGTTCTGGACCCCTCCGTTCAGGAAAGATATTGAGGTGCTGGAGCAGGTCCAGAGAATAGTGACAAGGCTGGGGAAAGGACTCGAGCGAAAGTCTTATGATGAGAGGTTGAGGGAGCTGGAGTTGTTTAGCCTGGAGAAGAGGAGGTTCAGAGGAGACCTCGTCACTCTGCAACTCTCTGACAGGAGGTTGTAGCCAGGTAGGGGTTGGTCTCTTCTCACAGGCAGCTATTAGTAAGACAAGAGGGCATGGTCTTAAGCTCTGGCAGGGGAGGTTTAGGTTGGATATTAGGAAGAAATTCTTTACAGAGAAGGTAATCAGGCATTGGAATGGGCTGCCCCGGGAAGTGGTGGATCCTCCATCCCTGGAGGTTTTTAAGATGAGACTGGATGTGGCACTTAGTGCCATGGTCTAGTAACCATGGTGGTAGTGGATCAAGGGTTGGACTTGATGATCTCAGAGGTCCTTTCCAACCTGGCTGATCCTATGATTCTATCACTCTTTTTGGCCTTTGGTAGTCTGAATCTGATGACTTCAGCCCTGTCCTCAGCTGATTACAGTCCATGCTTTTTCAGTCCGTGCTCTAGGCCAAGACAGTTTGGGGTAGACATGGAACCATTGGGGTTCCCTCTACAGCCCAGCCACTGCCTCTCAGTCCTAGGCCATATGGCCCTGCTTTCCAAGTCATGAATAATGGATAGCAAAATTATATGAAGTTCATGGTATGATAGAATGCTGGTTGATGGGACCCACCCATTTTTTTCTGTCCATGTCTAATCAAGATTTGAGCTCTTAGCAGCACAGATGAAAAACAAGGAACTGTGATGGTAAGGCTCACAATGTCCCACACTTGGATCAGGGAAACACCCAGTATCTTCAATACAGGCTGGGAGATGAAAGAATTTAGAGCAGTCCTACTGAGAAGGACTTGGGGGTAGTGATGGATGAAAGACTGGACATGACCCAGCAATGTGCACTTGCAGCCCAGAAAACCAACCCTGCCCTGGGCTGCATCAAAAGAATAATAGCCAGCAGGTCAAGGGAGGTGATGCTGCCCCTCTACTCTGCACTGGTGGGACGCCAGCTGGAGCACTGGATCCAGCTTTGCAGGGTCCTCAGCACAAGAAGGATGTCAACCTGTTAAAACAGCTCCAGAGGAGGCCACAAAGATGATTGAAGGACTGTAACACTTCTCCTGTGAGGGCAGACTGAGAGAGTTGGGGTTGTTCAGCCTGGAGAAGAGAAGGCTCAAGGGAGACCTTGTTGCCACCTTTCAGTACTGGAAGGGAGCAGTCCTATAAAAAAGACGGGGACAGGCTTTTTAGCAGGACCTGTTGTGATAGGATGACGGTTTTGAACTGCAAGTGTGTCACTACGGATTAGATATAAGGAAGAAGTTTTTTTTCATTGAGGGTTGTAAAATACTGAGGTTTCCCAGGGCAGTGGTGGGTGCCCTGTCCATGGAAACATTAAAGGTCAGGTTAGATGGGGCTCTGGAATGAAGTCTTCCCTGCAGTTACCACAAAGCCTCTATCCTCTTTAGATAAAATTGTTCCCTTTCCCAACCCAGTCTCAGTTGCTCTGTAGGATTTTTCAGACTCCTTGGGAACCTCTCAGTAGGGTTCCGGTTCTTTTTAGCACCGAGCTCTGTCATCCAGATCTGGAGTCTCAAAGGGAGACTTCCTTCCCATAAGCTGTGCTGGAATTCAAAGCTCCATGCTTCAAGCAGATCCAGCCCCCACATTGTGGCCTTAAAATGTGCTAATAAAGAAATCAATGGAACGGAAGAGATGTGCCTGTAATAAACAGAACACAGCAGCAACGCTATGATCTCCTGCCTTGCAGATGCATTTTAAGTGTGTTGCCAATCACTAGACCTCCGTGTGAGCTATTACACCACTTCATTAATTCTCCTGGCATGGAGCCCAGCATGGCTGATACTGGTGTCTTGTGATCTCTCTGGTTTGGGGGGTGAAGGGAGGGAGGAAGGAAGGAAGGAATATATAACAATATGCCACACTGTTCACAGAGAAAGGTAATCCAGTTATGACTCCCTTTCCTTTGGAGCACACACAGTAACCAACCTTAGAGATTTTCAAGGCAACAGTTTTACCTACCCTTGTAGTTGGTGCTTTCAGCCAGCATGAAAAGGAACAAAATAGACTGAAACATGGCTGAGATACTGAGCTGTGATGAGATGCTCCTCCATGCACCCAGAAGTTAATTTGGAGAATGGCTTTATCTGTACTGTGAACACTGATAATGAGATGAAACTGTAACGTTTCCATTGAAAGTCATGCAAGGAGTCTCCAGGTATTTCTGTCAGTCAGAGTGGGAGGCTCAGATGGGGTTGAGCCATGTGTTACAGCTAACTTTGTCAGTTCAGCAGAGTGATTAGACAGCAGTCAAAAATTCTTTGCTGTCACGAGTGATCTGCTAAGTTCGGTCCAAAGTTTGGGTAGTCTTCAGGTCACCACAGAGCTTTGACTGGCCTCATGAAGAGTAGCCTCATGTAGCCTGAAGTATGATGTATTGCATACCTCAGAGTCACTGTTTTCTGGGAGTCAGTCCTTAGGTCTGCATGGTTTTCTGTAGCACTGATGATGACCTGGAGAAAACCATAATAGTTCAGTCCAGTTGTGTTTGTATAGGACAGAGAGGTAAGGATGGACTTGCTGTTTCATTGACATAATTTCTCACTTAACGGACTGCTCATTGGGCCTTGATTGTAATGAATCCCCATTACTGGAAATGTATATTGAGAAAATCCTGCATATACACAGCACAAAGGAATAAGCCATCGTTTCAAATTTCGACCCTCGAGGGGAAAGGGAGATGTGTGTAGGGTCTGCAGGATTTATTCTGCTTATGGCAGAAATTGCACAGCAAGGCAGTCTTATGGAGAGATGGTCCTTGAAATGCTAAAATAACACAGTGAATCTCTGCATTCCTTCAGGAGCAGGGAAGGCCTGTCAGCTAGCAGCAGACAAGGAAGGAAGAGAAAGATGTGATGGGCTACTGCTTCTATTATTTTAGATCTCTTCGGTTCTTCTCCCTCTTTACCCATTCAGGCAGTGGCAATGCAGAGACTCCCCTGTCTCTTTCACAGCAATTCTTCCAGTGTGCTGCCTCGTAGTGTTTCGGAGTAGTAGATGTTGTCCAATCCACCCTGAATTGTCACTAGGCAAGAAGAGTGAGTGCTTTATGGTTAAACCTCAGGACTGGGACCGAGGTTATTTGAGCTTGATTTCTGTTTCTGCTGAAGGCATTCACAGTGGTCTAGGACAAGATACATTGCCTTTCCCTGCTTCAGTTCTCCCTCTTAGTAAATCATTGAAGTGACTAAGTTGCTCTGAACATAAAATGTGGTGATTTCTGTAGGAGTCTTGGAAAAGTAGGAAGGGTTGGTGCATTCCCTAGATGATGTTCCTTTTTTTTGAACTGAGGGCTTATGACTAAAATGAAGGATTGAAAGAGGATACTGTTGCATTACAAATTTACAAAGTTTGTAAAGATCCTTCCTAGTTCACCATTTACAGAAGCCTAGCAAAGTAAGTTTTTGCCATCTCTTCAGTTCTCTCAATTTCACTCTTTACAGCTTCAAAACACTACTGGATGGAGATGGGTGAAAGCCGCTGGGTGACAGAGAACCTGCAGCAGTGCTGGTCTCTGTACTGCCTGTCTCCCAGTCTCTCTATCCCAACCAAGAGCTAGGACAGAGCTGGCTTGTAAACGTAACTCGCCCCAGCACCAGACCCGACCTCTGCAGAGGCAGTCGGGCTGACACTACTGTTGACAGCCCCCCAGTTCGCTGACTGTGTACAACAGTTCCCCCATCTTGGTGTCTCCAAAGAAAACCTTGGCCTGATTCAGAAAACCAA